ATAATAAAACTGAAGTGATGACTAGTCAGTGATATTATATAGAAATAGTTATTTAAGAAACTGTATAAGTGAGCTTAACTATCTTACTTAAATAGTAAGCTTATAGACTACAGAGTTATTATGAGAATATCACAGATATGATACTTAGTATACTAAGAAGATTATATAAGATATATAGTAACTCTTTGTATATATTTCAGTAGAAGAAAAAATAAATCACTGACTTTTTTAATAGAGAGTCAGTATCTAGCTATTCTATATAGATAATAAGCAGATACTCTTCTTTCATTTCATGAGTAAGAATAGCTAGAGTGATATCTCAGCAGTGTATCATTGTCAAGAAAGAGTAATCTACTGATCTTATATAAAAGTAGAGTTCTTATATTCATCAATCAGATCTTTCTATAATATATTCAAATAATATTATAGAGTGATTGAAAACTAGTTCAGACAGAATGAAATCATTCACATAAAAGCAATGAGCTGTGTGAAACTGTAACAGAGTCTTGATACGGCTGAAAGCGTGACACTGAAACTAATCATTAAAAAAACATGCAAAGTGACTATATATCAGATCTTAAAATAGAATCATGACTTAGAAAAATTAAGAAAGTAATTTCATTTGATCTCATTTAGTTTCATTCTTAATATAAAGTTACTATTTTTAGACATTTTAAGGTTTTCTTTAGACTATTTTAAATTTTTTAAAAAGTAATACTTTTTAATAATATATAAATAAGATTTAAAGTTATTTAAAGCAATAAAAATAATTTAAATTAAGAAGTAAAAATCATGATCTTATTTGAAAAATGTAATAAGAGTAGACAGTAAGTCTCACTGAGACAGTATAAAACTACTATTTAATATTAAAACAGTGTAATAAGATCAGTTGAATTAATAATAAGATTATTAAATATTCTGATTCTGATTTCAGACACAGTTATACAGTCAGTCTACTTATATCTGTTTATAATACACTAAGATTTGAGTTTATCAGCTCTTCAAATAGTGCAATTTAATAATTATATAGTAACTAGAAAACTTATCTTAATATATTTTAAGAAAGTAGCTGTAGAATTTTATATAAGTTATATTAAAAAGTTAAAACACTCTTTTTTAAAATACGAAATTTTCTTGATTTCAAGAAGAAAAAAGTGTTAAATATTGATTCTTTTAATATAAAAATTATATATATTTTTATTCTTTCTCTCTTTAACTACAATCTTTGATTATTCAGAAATCTCAAAGATGTATAATAATTGAAATTTGAAATTGAGTAAAATATTAATTTTTGAAAATTTTTAAAATCTTCTAAAATATAAATTATTTCTTCTCAGACTGTTTAGAATTGTTTCTGAGTAGACTGACCGTGTGACCGTGTCTGAGACCAGGATCAGATTTTTTGATAATCTTATTATCAATTTGACTGATCTCATTACACAGTTTTAACATTAGATAGTAGTTTCATACTGTCTCAGTGAAACTTACTGTCTACTCTTATTACATTTTTCAAATAAGATCATGATTTTCACTTCTCAATTTAAATTATTTTTATTGCTTTAAATGACTTTAAATCTCATTTAAGCATTATTAAAAAGTGTTACTTTTTAAAAAATTAAAAATAGTCTAAAAAAAACCTTAAAATGTCTAAAAATAGTAACTTTATGCTAAGAATGAAACTAAATGGAATTAAATGAGACTACTTTCTCATTTTTTTCAAGTCATGGTTTCATTTTAAGATCTGATATATAGTCACTTTATCTGTTTTTTTGATAGCCAGTCTCAGCAGAATTCATGCTAAGAAATGTATGAAATCAGATTAAATGAAATCAAACATGAAATTCATAATCTCAGTGACCAGTCTATTTCTGAGTAGACTGACTGCTGAGATCATGAATTTCACATTTAATCTCATTTAATCTGGTCTCATACATTTCTTGACATGAATCTCAGTGAAACTAATTATTAAATAAACATGCAAAGTGACTATATATCAGATCTCAAAATGAAATCATGACTTGAAAAAAATGAGAAAGTGATTTCATTTGATTTCATTTAGTCTCATTCTTAGCATAAAGTTACTATTTTTAGACATTTTAAGGTTTTTTTTAGACTATTTTTAATTTTTTAAAAAGTAACACTTTTTGATAACACTCAAATAAGATTTAAAGTTATTTAAAGCAATAAAAATAATTTAAATTAAGAAGTGAAAATCATAATCTCATTTGAAAAATGTTATAAGAGTAGACAGTAAGTCTCACTGAGACAGTATAAAACTACTATCTAATGTTAAAACTGTGTAATGAGATCAGTTAAATTGATAATAAGACTATTAAAAAATCTAGTTCTGATCTCAGACATAGTTACACAGTCAGTTTACTCTCTACTTATTATGAAGAATGAAGATACTTATGAAACTGAGTGTAGATGAAGATGTCATCAGTTCATTAATTAATTAAGATTGATATATTAATGAATAATTAAAGAATCACATAAAACAGAAGTTTCATTTATAAATGAAAGTATATGAATCAGTGTTATAAATATCTGATAATATTATTAAATATCTTGATATTCTGTTCTGAGACACTGTCATACAATAGAAAGTATTAGATTAATTACAGAGTGTCTAACAGAGAAATACTTCTCTTATAACTGTAAGAAATCCCGCTCCTCGCGAATTCTTTACCTCTATTTCTATCTCTCACATAATCAATAGGGCTAGCGGCCCTTGACTACACACAACTATATAGACTGGAGTTCATGAATACTATTTACAACTCAGCTTGAATGCTATTATACATTTGACCTCTACATTTTATCTTTCTACTGTGAATACTTCTAGTAGTTAACAGTACATATCACATCAAGCTACAAACATCTGAATAATCATCTGTAAGCACTTATTCTTACATTTCAAGCTCAGTCAGTCAGCAATCACTCATTATGACTGAAAGAACTAGAAACTTACATGCTTCAATCTCTGTGAACTCTACTGCAGACACTCAGAAGCAGTCATCTGAATCATGAATAACTCTCATGAAAGAAGTTTCAGAGAACTTATTAATTACTTATAAAACATCATTCTCTGCATCTGTGACAGAGGAACTCTCAGAACTTATAAACAAATCAATCTCAGTGAAGAACATTCTTGAGCCTACTATCTAATATTAGAACTGTGTAATAAGATCTGTTGAATTGATAATGAAACTATCAAAAATTCTGATTCTGATCTCAGACATGATCACATAGTCAGTCTATTTCTAAGTATATAATCTTACTGAAATAGTCTTGATATTATACTGAATTTACTTAAATTTACTATAATTAAGTAGAATAGAGAATCTAAGTCTGCTATAATTAGACTGATTACTAGAATTATAAATTTCACATTTAATCTCATTTAATCTGATCTCATACATTTCTTAGCATGAATTCTACTGAGACTAGTTATTAAAAAAACATGCAAAGTGACTATATATCAGATTTTAAAATGAAATCATAACTTGAAAAAAATGAGAAAATAATCTCATTTAATCTTATTTAATCTTATTCTTGATATAAAGTTACTATTTTTAAACATTTTAAGGTTTTTTTTAAACTATTTTTAATTTTTTAAAAAGTAATGCTTTTTAATAATACTTAAATAAGATTTAAAGTCATTTAAAGTAATAAAAATAATTTAAATTGAGAAGTGAAAATCATGATCTTATTTAGAAAATATAATAAGAGTTGACAGTAAGTCTCACTGAAACAGTATAGAACTACTATCTAATGTTAAAACTGTGTAATAAGATTAGTTAAATTGATAATAAGACTATCAAAAAATCTGGTCCTGGTCTCAGACACAGTCACATAATCAGTCTAGCTATAATAAGTAGAGAGAGATTTAGAAATCAAATTTATCTGCTTAACTTGATTGTATGCTCTTCTATAGATATTATTACTGAATGTTTCTAGATAATGAAAAAACTTTTAACTAAATAACAAGCTAAGAGCCTGTTCAGTGTGTCTGTACTTTTTGAATGCAATAGTGAATCTCATTAAAAATAGTGTATTTATCAATTATTAGTAGCAAGTCAGTGTTATGTCATCACACTATTTCACTGCTCTGAGATAAAGAAAGAAAGCTCATAAAAATGTGTTCTTTTTAAATGAAGTTCAGAGTCAGTTCAAAAAGAACATATTTTTATAAGCTTTCTTCTAATTAATATTAGTTAACTATCTTCACTATGAACACTATTCTACACTATATTATCTCTAAAAGTGCTATTCTACACTATCACACACTGTTGAAGTTAAATACTGCTTGTTCATAAGATCTTGACAAGAGATACAAGTACAGCTGCTCAATCCACTGAACATCTGGTCATTTTCATCTGTACTTTGTAAAAAGCAGCTGTATTATTAGTACAGACACTCTGTCCACTGAACAGTCATGATATTGAGGCTGTACTTTTTAAAAAAAGTGGAGATCCGTACAAAAAGAACGAGTACACACGGACGCACCGAACAGGCCCTAAGTAGCAGTTTGAAACTAAGAACACTAATCTAACTTGGTTAGATCTCGGAGATCTTGATCTTCTTATTTGTGCCCACCACCGCGAAGCTTCCACTAGCAGAGGCTTAACTTAAACCAACCGAACTTTCTCCCACGCGGCGTACAGCGTGAACCTCCCTAATGCAAGCCCACGTTCTGTAGAGGGAGATCTGGCGGGGCAGAACAAAAGAAATAAAGAAAAGAAAAGAAAGCGGGAAGAAAAAGAACCCACGGCTCATTTTTCTTTGTTAGCCAGTCAACTTACTAGTAACTCACTAGGTAATAATGTAACTACAGAACGGAGTAACTATGTGTAACTAACTTGATTGTTCACTGCTGGCCCCGTCTGAAGACTGCTCACAGCTACGTTAATAGGTGAATGCAAAGAGCATGTGCGGTGTGTCTGCTTGATATTGCCATCCTGTTAGAGATCCCGAGTTCGCGGCCTCTTCATCCTACCATGAGCTCTAAGTCGGCCCACGCCAGGGTTATTTGGAACGGCGTGGACAGTTTCAGGGTGTTGGTTGGTGGGAGTTATCTCAGGCGGTGCAGGTGGTGAAGCACACGGCAATAATTGGCTGTCCCCTGCACTGAGAAACGAATCATCATCAACGTTGGATTGGGTGGGCAGAGTCCTCCGTGCGCACTTCTCATCTATTCACGGAGCTGGTTGGATTTCCATTTCGATTTGAGATAGTTATCCCGGACCTGTCTGGATATTTGATATTCTTGGTGGTTGAAGGTTGTTGATGTGTCCCCATCCATCCTATCCCAGTTAATTACCTAAATATCAAAGCCTCATCTCCACAACAGCTCTATCAGAAATTTCTCGTCGCGCGCGGGTTGCCTCCGATAACGGAGAAGAAAAGAGAAGCCACCACAGTGCAAAGACCAAACCATCAGGACGGGAAATAAAGACGTATTCATGAGCATTAAGCCCGAACACATAGATATCATCGCGACCCGCGCCAAGAACCACGAGTACCGCCGCTACCTCTTGCCGTTGAGCGGTCGCCGCATCTGTCTGGTTCTACACCACCCACCCGCCCCATCTCGCGCATTGAGTATGTCGCACACATCTCTCGCGGCAAGGTGCCCTGCCAAGTCCCGGAGGATGGCGGAATTGGCAATGCAGACTTCAATGCGGGCAAAAAGGTCTCGAAATACGCCTACGAAATCCTGGATCTGTGGAGGCTGAAGCAACCCATCAGTCTGAAGCTGGCTATCTCGAATGGCCTACTAAAGGGTCCGCCGCAGAAGTATTGTTGTGTACCCCTCGCGCTCCTGGAGAGCTGTCCGATGGACACACAGGAGCATATAATCTCGAGGGCGCCGCAAGAGACCCCTGTGGAAGGAGAGATGAAGGACTATGTTCTCCCGGAGGAATCCAAAGAAGCGCCCAGCTCCTAAAATCACCAGATTATTCAGCTATTCGGGCGTGAAAGGCCAAGGCTAGAGGATTAATGGACTTTATGGGCTGATGGCCGGATCAACCATGTCCCAATCCGATGTTTGTTGAATTCGTCACAGGATAGAGACAAGTACGTTTTAAACACGTCACGCATGCATTTTAATGAAGGATATGGATCGAATTAATATCTAATACGTCGCTAAGCTTAATTGGTCGCTTCGACTAGCTGCATCCTCCGAGATAGCGGTTGCTTATCGATATAATCAATGGAATAGTTCCTAAAGAGCTTTTTTGGCTCCTCCATCCAACCGCGGACTTCCTCCCAGAGTACATTAAGTGCGCCGCGCCTTCGGTATTCATAAACGTGTCCGCATCCAAAATGTACCTACGACCAGCATCGCATAAATACTTATATCACCTTTCCTGACGTACAAGCTCTTCGAGAGCTTACCTCCGGACGAGTCCAGAACTAGGGGAGAATAAACAAATAATCGGAGCATTTCCAGGACACTCGAGGAGCCGCCAAGTAAACTGTACTTGGTAGGATCCTGCGTAGTCCGATCCGGTACACATGATCCAGGACTTGTCTGGATCTTGACTGCAGATCTGAACGTATTAGACTGCGCAGAGCCGTCTTGAATTCGATAGATCTGAAGAGGAGGTCTCAACCTTGGAACAGGAGGCTATATCACGTGATGTGCTCCAATGTGAGAGAGGTTGAACGTGGTTGGTTGTTGTTATCTAACTAGTAGCTAGTGAAAGCTAAATATATGTCTGTGGGTCACGTGGGTTAGGGCTTGTGTAGTAGCTCCAACACCCCCCCATGCTACGCAGGCCAGTTAACCCACACAGTCAAAAGTGCCCAAATCATTCAAATCTGCAATAATAATTAATTACACAAAGTAGAGTCTAGTTTTCTCATAAGGACTAGCTCCATACATGCAAATACACGCGAATATGCAAGAAAAAATGCTCAAATCTGTCCTTTCTGTATCTGTATTACCCCCCCAGTCATCTGAACACTGCGGGGTCTCATTTCTCATATTTTTGTCATTTTATTGTTATTGTTATCGTGGTTATCATATAGGCACACTTGGTGGCCTGGTTATCATGAGTTATCATGGTTATCATATAGGCACACTTGGTGGCCTGGTTATCGTGAGTTATCATGATTATCATATAGGCACACTCGGTGGCCTGGTTATCGTGAGTTATCATGGTTATCATGAGGTATCATCTTTATCCTGGGTTATCATATGAGCATTCAACAGCCCGGGTATTATGGTTATCAGTATCATGATTATCAGTATCATGATTATCAGTATCTCCATCATTTTGATGTTGATATTGATGATTATAGTTATGATTATATCTGTGACATTATTAACATCATGAGTTATGATTATATTCATGATATCATTGATATCACAGAGTTATGATTTTGATTATGATTATAATCTTGTGAAATCTGACCTCCAGATCCACAGCATTTTCAATATTAGTATTATTATTAACATTGTTATTGAGCATCATTATCAGAATTTTTAATATTCTTGTCATTCATTCAACTGAGTAATATACTGTCTCAGAATGACAGCTTTATTACAGTCTGTCATATCTTCACATTCTGAAGAATTATCTTGAACTTGATTATTCTTATTATCTTCACACAGTTATTAATGTTGAAAAGAATTTAGCTATCTGATTCTCTGAGATCTCTTCATGATTGATTAATCTCATATTAACAGACATTTGATATGAGGTATTTGAATGAAAGAAGCAGCTATTTAAAAAGCTTATTGTATAATTATTGTATGATTATAACACTTTGTAGAAGTGTTCAGACTTCATAACCTGTGAGAGAGATTGAACATGATTGATTGTTGTTATCTAACTAGTAGCTAGTGAAAGCTAATTATATGAGAAGAACATAGAGTTAATTTACAGTAATTACACTGTGAATTCACTATTTCACCTGTGTTACATGTCACTGATTGTAACACATGTTTCACCATTATATTCAGTGACATGTTGCTGAATATTAAATGTCAAGATAGTATTAAAATGACACAGAACTTCTTGACATTATCAGAGAACAGCTCAATCACTATATAATCAGCAGATGTCATTATCAAGATACTACTGAGATACTGTGAGTCATGATTAGACTGATCAGTGAGATCATGAATTTCACATTTGATTTCATTTGATCTGGTTTCATACATTTCTTGATGTGAGTCCCACCAGAACCAAGTCTCAAAAAAATCTGAAAATGAATTATTTCTGAGAGAAATGATGTGAAAAATGACCAGATTTAATTCAAGAACAGTGAAATGAGAGTAATTTCTCAGAATAAACTGTGAAAGATGATCATTCTTTCAAAATCAGAATAGAACTGAGACTGAAGATCAAAATCAGTCTCATTCAGTTCATTCAGTGATTGCTTATATAATCAGAATTTGATAACAATTATTGATAACACTCATGAAACAATTAAATACATTCTTGTACAAGTTTATTCTTCACTTTCTCATGAAAACTACACTTCTCTAATATACTGTGATCAGAGATATTAAACTGTCTGATAATTTCATGTTTTACAATCATGAGTTTCTTGATTGTTTCTCCTTGTAATTATCCCTGATAATAGTGATAAATATCTTGACTTGAGTTGAACTTTCACTTCATTCTCACCTCTATCAATGAAATTGTCAGAATATCATGCATCATCAGTGCAACAGTTGAATATATACTCTCAACAATTTTTCATAACTCTAGAATTGATTTGATGTGTAAATTTGTCAGATCATCTTGAAGATAACAGTCAAATTCAGTTTTACAAGCATGTAGTTTTGCCTGATTTTCAGTTGCAATCAATGTATGTAAGTTCTGTTTCAAAGTTAGTATTATAATTCTATGAAATATGAAGTATTATCAAAGATTGTTACTTACTAGAGAATTGTATTTCACTGTCTTCACATCTTAAACATCTGCTCATTCAAATCTCTGATAGTTAACATTGTAGTAGTCTCAGGTTAATTTAATATACAAGTCTTATTCCTTCTCTGTTCAATCTTGAGAAGTGTAGATATTAACTTGACAGAAGAGATCTAGTAGAGCTGCTATAGCATAGTACTCTGTAAAAGATTGTTCAGTTTTGCTGTAGTAATATATCAGTTTATCCCTTGCAGCAATAATAGCCTGCACTATAGCATCATCTCAGACTGAATTTCTTTTTGAGTGATTCAACTGCTTCTCAAGATGAGTAAATAAACTGTTATACACTCATCAGACTGACTGCAGCATTGATGTATGAGTGATTAAGACTGTCTTTGTTGTCTTATAAAACTGAAACAGTAAATCAATCACATATTTCAACTGAGTTCACTTCATATCAGAAAGTTTCAATATCTGAATCTTTTCTCAATCAGAGTGTTGCACTCAATGATCAATTATCTGATGCAATCAAAGAGTCTGAATAGTCATCTTATATGTTGAACTTCACTGTGTTCTAATATTCTGTATTATATTCAGTGATGTGACTGATTTGTTTGTTTGTTAAATATCATGAAATCATTATTATTATTTAGAAGAGATACAAATCACATTAGCAATGTTTCAAATCTATAATATTTAAATTATTAGTCAATCTATTCAAAATTAACAGTAGTATTATCAAAAAGTGTTATCAAAAAGCAATATTAAAAAGTGTTATCAAAAAACATTATCTTTTGTAAAGTGAATGTAAAAGTTACTTGAGTAATCACTTTCATCTCATTCTCATTTCAAGAACCAGTCATCTCATTATTCTTCATCTCAATGTTAAGATTCTTTATCAGTATTTGCATCATAAGTTGAACCACATGAGCAATGCAGGGAATATGACCTTGTTTATCATTTCAGAAATGCAAAGCCAATTTTTGCTTCAAGCTCTTCATCATAGTGTAGTTATTTGTAGCATTGTCAGTTATAATTGCAAGAAGACTGAGACTAATATCTCAATAGTCATTTTTAATCACAGTCATTAATATCTCTGTTATATAATTCTCAGTATGACTACTGATCAATGATTCAAATTCAATTAATGTCTCTTGATAAGTTCAGTTCTCATCAATATAATAACATGTAACTCTCATAAATGCAAGATTGTTTGTACTAGTTCATGCATTCACAGTGAGAGACACTCTTCAATGATTCTTCAACTCTGATTCTAGATGTTATATATTGACTTTGTAGTGTGTCTCAAGATTGAACTGAAGACAGAATTGATGTGAAATATGAAGATTTGAATTAAGCATTTGAAGAAGTGTTCAGAATTCGGGGTTTTCAATTAATTGAAGAGAAAGATTCAGAGATATACATATACAAAGTAATTGTTCACAGAAGTTATCAGATGAGAGTTGTGAAATCAGAGTACTGATATGTGATTGTTTTCACATGATTTTCTTCAAATTAGAAAGTTAGTGTTATCAAAAATTATTATCTGATAGAGCAACTTATCAGCTCAGTAGTAATTTTCTGATTATTTTCCTTTTATTGTCTGCATTCTGATGACTTCAGATGTCAAGAAATTTCTTCAGAGTTATGATCAGTTCATGATGAATGTTTCTGAATGAAGTTGCAGTGATTGCAGCAGAGAGATGACTCTTCAGTAATCTGCAATGCAATCTGTTGATAATTATTCCATAGTTCATCTCAATGTTTGTGTTGAGTTTTCCATAAATTTTGTGGCCTGGAATCAGATGTGAAGAATAAAGTGATTATTCATCATGATTGAAAGAGAGTATTCTGTGTTGAATTGTAAACAACATAGACTTTGTGATTCACAGTGATTTCTTGAAGAGTTTGTGAATCTTCAGTAGAAGTAAAAGAAGTGAAAGAAGTGAATTCAGAAGACATAATAATAATTTAAGAAAGATAATAATTTATTTTCAATAACTGATCACTGATGTGTGTAAGAAGAATTAATATAAGAGAAAATAATCTTATTTCTTAGCTTAGTTATAATTTTAGTACTAACTCAGATTGAATATCATTGATGTATAAAAGTAAATAAACAATCTTGATTAATCTCTATCATATTTCTTGAAATATATTAATATTGTAAAAGAGAGTGTTATCAAATTGTATTATCAGATGATATCATTAAAAATATATTAATATTGTGAATATCAATGTTGAAAAAATGTTGATACTTATACATTATAGTGATTTGTGAATCATGATAGTTAAATATATATATATATATATATCATTTCTGACTTGATTACAACTTGTACAATAATTTTTGAAAACTCAAAATCAATTTTAATTATTAATAATTAAAAACTTAAACTTACAACTAACTAATATAAAAAGAAAAAAATCTACTTCTTCTCTTTCTCATTCTTCTTATCATTCTTCACAATTTACTTCTCATTCTTCTTCTTCTTCTTCTTCTCCTTCTCATCTGAGGTGATAATCATCTCAAAATCTCTCTTCACTGCCTTCTCAGAGAAGAGTTTCTGCTGCTCCCTCTCAGCCAGGTTAATCTGTGCCTTAAAATCCCACATTTTCTAGTCTGCTGTCTCAGGTTTCATCCCAGCAGCAAGCAGATTGACATGCTCAGAGAGCAGAGCTGTCTTCTCAATGTTCTGAATTATGAAGTGCATTCAAGACCTGAATAAGGCCTCAATTCTCTTCTTCTCTGTCAGCTCCTGCTAATCAATTAGAGAACAGAAGTGTTATCAAAAATCATTATCTCTCAATAAGTAAAAAACTTATCAGTTTTGACTTCTTTATCTTCTACTTCAATATCTTCTCAATCTTCTTCTGCTGCTACTTATTTACAGTAATACTCTTCTTCTCTCTTTCTCTCTTCATCTTGAACTCAAATCATTCTCAGAACTTCTTCTGATCTTATCACTGCTGTATAAGACTCTTCACTGTCTTCTTCTTCAATCTCTCACAGACAGTATCATTCACATTATTCCTATACTTAGTTCAGTCTAAATCTATCAGAAGTATTACTTAAAATCATTATCATTCTACTCTCTTACAGAGCCTCTTCAAGGCATTATAACATACCTTACAATCTGTCTCTTCTTGCTTGAACATCTTCTTCTTCTCTTTCTTCAATCTGTGACAGTGCTCACGCGCCTTGATAGTCCGCAGAACCACAGAATATTTGAAGAGAGATGACATGATTGATTTCAGTAAGTATTAAAGAGAGATGAAGACAGAAGAGACGGCCAGGAATAATATAATGATGATAATGATAATGATGATGATAATGATGATAATGATAATGATAGTGATAATAGTGATGATGTTAATGATAATGATAATAATAATGATGATAATGATAAAAGAGAAAGTGCATTGAAATATATTACTGACTTATTAAATATAAAGAGACAAAGAAAATATTAACAGCTTTCAGAGATATATAGAAACAGCTACAGTGTTGCATAGCAACATCATCTTCATTCAATGCATACAGTGTTGATATTCTTTGTATATAGTTATTATATAATCTATATCAGAGATACATGCAGAAAACAGATCTTTATTACTAGAAAGAATAATTGCAGTGATTCTCTATTTTCATATTATAAAGATAAGTTATTCTCATTTCTTTCTTCTCTCTTTTCTCTTCTTCTTCAACTCATCACTAAGTTCAAGCCAGTATGAAAACTATTAAAACACTCTTAGAAACTCTCAAATTGAAGAGTATAGACTAATCAAATTTTAAATGCAGAAGAACTAAATTATATTCAATATTACTAATTATTCATCTCTCTTCAATAAAACCACAGTCATGTCATCTCTCTCTCTCTCAAATAAAACATGGCCCGCGAAAAGCAAGTACCACATCAGGCCATAATAATCAACACAGCCTCAGCACACAGAACTGCATACATGCAGTGCATGCTAGACTGAGAGACTGTGTGAGTTGCAAACCAGTGCCAGCATCTCAGAGAGAGTTATGCAGTGTGAGAAAGCTGTAACTCTCAGTCACATGCACAGAGAGTGAATTGTTGCAGTAAGTGCATATGCATTGTATGAAAGTAACACTTTTTGATAACACTCAGTCTCTGATATCATGAAAATAGAGTCTCTTCATGAGATCTGTTTTTATCAGAAGTCAGAGAATCTTATATTCTTCAAGATTATCTTCATCTGTCTTGTCTATGAAATCAATGAGAGAAATCATTGATTTCAGCATTCTGTTCTTGATGTCATTCAAGTGACAGCAGAGTTCACCCTGGCCACACTTTTTAAGTGTATGTTTTCTAAATATTCACATTTATACAGATATATACTGATTATTTATTAGATGATGTTAAGATAATGACTCATCACAGTCATGTTATTCTCACTGTGAGAGATACACAGTTGATAATAAACATTGTGAAGACTCTGAGAAGTGAGTATTTTAGAGATGCTGCAGCTCTGTGATCTTGATTTTTTTTTTTTTTTTATTTTTTATTTTTTTCTTTTTCTTTTCTTTTTTTTTTTTTTCTTATTTTTGTTTTGTTTTTTGTTTTTTGTTTTTTTTTTGTATTTTATATTTTTTTTATAATTAAAATTATATAAATTATGATCTGTGTTCAGAAAAGTAATAATATTTGATAACACTCTCTGTTAAATTTTCAACAAATGAGCACTATGTTATGATATTATGTAAGTGAGAAGTGATTTCATGATCTCATTTAATACCATTCTCAATAATAAGATCAGAATGAAAATGTGACTAAGAATTTAAACATATTCTTTATCTAAGACTAGATTTTTATTTGAAAAGTGAATCTGAAATCTTTAATATTTGAAATAACATGATTTGAGATCAATGTGATAAACACAAACCATGATCAGAAGTAATGCTTTTAGGCAACATGACAACTGTAAAGTTTGGTCCTGGTCTCAGACACGGTCACACGGTCAGTCTAGTCATGATATACTGTTCTATCAGTGAAATCAATACTTATATACTATTCAGCTAGACTAGTTAACTACTTTATATAAATTAAATTACTATCTAAAGAAATGAGATATCTCAAGTGTAATATAAATATCTTATTGTCTGAGATTCATACATTAAATAATCATCATTTTCATCAGTATTCAGTATTAAAATGTTATATAATACTATCTTATAAACTGCTGAAAGTCTGATAATAGTATAACTATTGAAATTCTCTTATAAAATTAACAGATTCAGTAGATGATTCTGTCTAACATAATATAGAGAAGTAAGTATAAAGAAAATCTACTTAATTCTTCTTATTTCATGAATAAAGATAGTTATAATTCAGTTAAGATTAGCTCTCTAATATTGAAAAATATTTCTCTTTATAAGAGAGATTTAATGAATATACTCTCTGATTTATATATTAATAAGTTAATAACTGATTAATTAATTAGTTGAAGAGATATACTGAACTGAGAATATTAACTTATTATAGAAAAGAATTAGACAGTGATCTAGTTTTAAAACTAAGAGCTTATTTCAATTGATGTTATAAAATTCTTATAGATTATTGAGAAATAAATAAAGTAATTCAAGCTTAAAGAGATTTATAAATTATATATTAACTTTCTCTGATATTTTATTTAATAATAGATAATTAAAAATCTTTGAAGTAATATAATCTTTTATTAACATTAACTTAATAGAGTAGTTCAGTAAATTATCATTCTTATCTTCAGCTTCTTCATTTATTCTCAGTAAATTATTGAAAAGTACTGAGTAATATACATATAAATTCTGAATCTTCTATATCAGATACATGTCAGAGCTGTCAAAGAAATCTCTTAATATTAGTTATAAGATTCACTGAAAACTCTTCTGTAAGAGCAGTGTTTTTTTTATATCTTAATAATTTATTCACTGTACTAGATTCTTATAGTCTTGATACTTATTCTCTTCTATCAGAATATTATAATTGCCTCAGTGACCGAATGATTAATGCGGCCACTCAGTAGCGCCTTGGCGTGGGAAACCAGGGCGTGTGGGTTTGAAACCCGCAGAGGATACATTAAATTCAGAACCTAAGCACCTCAGGTTTCTAATAAATACAGAGGTGTACAAATTGCTTCAATAAAATTGCTCTATGTTCCTGGGCTGAGAAGTTATTATCGCATGTATTTAATTGTCACTCCTTTGTATTTTCTATGTTCTTGTTATCTTGGCATGGTCTCAACACCTGTATTTCCTCCTGTATAACTAACACTTGACCTGTATTTAACATCATGCAAGGACTCATCATAAGCTCCGCTTGCATATGAGTATAATGAGAGAATAATAATAATAATAATAAGAATATTATAATTGTTAAATACAGTGTATTCTTTAATCAGCTTAATATAGTATAAGCTAATATATATATTCAGTCAATTCTTTATATACTATATAAGCTTTACTTTTTTGATATAATCACTGCTGCTGATATATGTAGTAACTATACTTATAGTTAAAGCAGAGAATGATTGATGATTAACAACTGAATCAGCTTAGAATAATTCAAATATTACTGCTACTCTTATCACAGCTTTAATAAGAAACTATAACTATTAATAAGCTATAAGTATGATTTGACAGATCACTTCAGAATCATTTTCTCTTGAAGATTGAAATATTAATAGACTATTACTTCTTACAATAACTGTATATATCTGAATAATAAAATCAATAGATAATTGATTTTAACTTTGTACTGAAAATACTGCAGAAATAATCTGCTTAATTACTAAACTGAGTCATCTCTCTCTGAGCTCACACTGTAAGATAAGAGATATAATAATTAAAGCTTGAGTATGTTCTTAAAGCTGATACTTCTTGAGATGAGTGATTAATAACTGGAAATAATTTTAACTGTGAGAAAAGAAAAATGTCTGCAATATTTAAAAGTATTCTTACTAATTATACAGTAATAGAATAGAACAGATCAGTAATAAGTATGAAATCTCTGATATTTCAGTAAACTCACTATAATATGAATCTGAAGAAAAAAATGAGATTAAATTCAAACTTAAATATATTTAAAAAAGAGATACTGTCTGCACTGTCATACTCTGCTCTTGATATATTTAATCTCTGTGTGTGAAATTCAGCAAATTATCTAGTTTAGTCTGAAGATACTGTATATAATGATGAAATCAGCTGTTATTATATAAATTATAGTTCAAATTCAGCTAATTCTTATTATTGATAAAACAGTTTTAATAAGATCTTCTTACAGTTAATTCTTTAATCTCTGTATTACTATTTTACTGTAATATATCTTTAAGAAATGTCATATAAGATATAATCACTCTTATCTTTTCTTCACTGATATTCATTATAATTCTCTTATAATTCAATGTAGATAAGTTATGTAATAATACAGTAATAGTATCAGAGAAATTAATACTATAAGAATTAAAAATTAGAATAAAAATATTGTTTTACTTTGAGTGCTTAACAGCACTCAGTGTAAAAATCATATAAAAACTTATCAAGCTTTGATATATATTCTGATATAAATCAAATTCATCAATGAACAATTAATATAATAGAGAAATAACTTGTATATCAGAGTAAAATATGCTTTTCAAAATGTCTTATTTATATACAGCAATTTTCAACTCAGTCTGAATTAATGAAGATTTATAATATAATTATATCTCAACAGCTTCAGTCTTGATTCTTATAACTCAGTGAAGAAAATACTGATCTTTATTCTTATATTTTATCAGTAGATTGAAATTCAATTCAAACATTGTATTTATATAAATATCAAGTTAATTCAGAATCTGAGTAATTAAGATATATTTCATCTCATCTTTCATTGTGATTAATTCAAATGAGATAAATGACAGATTCAAAAATGATAATCTTTATACTATCTAAGAAGTATGATGAATCACTTCTTGAACTTTTAGAACTATTATATAAGGTCTCATTCTCATGTCTGAATATTAATGATCATGTTCAATAAAATGTACTCTTTTAATATAAGATATATCATTCAACTCTGATTTACAGTAGCATTTGAAATTCTCACACTGATACTGAATAAAATCAGAAGAAAAAAGAGGTTTATTTATTAATAAATATTATATGAAGTTACTGAAATAATATTTAACAGAGTCTTCTCAACTGTGAGATTATCATAACTCAGTGAAATTATTAACAAGTTTCATCATTTCTATATACATCT